CAAAAAAAAAAAAAAAAAAAAAAAAAAAAAAAAAGGACACTAAAGTCAACAATTATCGCTATATTCTCATTAACGTCCTTATTTGACATTTTACTCTTAAATTCCGTTACTGCTTATCCCCATTCAATCTAGATTTAAAGTTTTTCACTGCAACTAAGAATGCCATCACCACCTGCAACTTATTATATAATCATATTATGCAACTTAGAGACTTTATCAATTCAGTATTTTTCCTAATAATCAATTCTGACTGTGGCAGAAAAAAATCTACTTCTCCTCTCGTCCCATATATACTCATTTTCATAATACTTTACTAGTAAATATATACTCATTTTCATAATACTTTACTAGTGGTAAAATATATACTCATTTTCATAATACTTTACTAGTGGTAAAAGGCCCAATCATAAGACTAATGTGTAAAACTTAATATTTGAAAAATAAAATATACAAGGTTGGGATACTCTTCTATGATTTTATAATGCAGAAGGAAAAAAACAAGTGGGAAATTTCTTTGTAGGGTGCCTTAAAAATATCTTTCTTGACTAGACCGTAACTATTCAAGGGGTAAACATAAGTCATGCTTTCCTCAAAGAATCCTCAAGAATGGTCCAAAATCCAAGGTACTTCAAAAACAACACCAAGAGTAGGCTGTTGAGTTCTGTCTGTTGTATGAACGGTAGGGACAAAGTATACTGGCCATAAATATCATGGCTGTATTAACTAATTTTTAGTACAGTTCTGAAATACTGGCCAGGTTTTGAAATGCCAGAATATGTGTGGTTTTTAAAGGTTTATCATTTTGTGGGGAAAAAAATTACTTGGAGCAAATTACCAAATTTTCTCAATTGGTAAAAATCATGCCTTGCATAAAACTACAAGGATTAGAGGCCTCTGTTCTTCTTGAAAACGACCCCGTCACCCCTCTCTTTCTTTGAGAAAACCTACACAAGACACATTTTGAAAGCTTTCAGAATGTGTTCTTACACAATAGACCCCCAGCTAGTCAAAATGAGTTTAGGTGTATGGAGAAAATTATACACGTTTTTTAAATGGTCTCAATAGATATTAAAAGAAAGTTGCTCCCATTTTGCTAGGCACAGCATTCTGAGAGATCACACAGTGAGAAAAATCTCTTACCATACGTAAACCATAAATCGTGTTTGAAAATAAAATTGTTAATGAAGAAACTGACATTTCTAAAGCAGCTGTTAGAGGTGACCATTCTTGAAACATGTTTCTGACGCAAAATCTTAAAGCTCTAAAACACAGAATTCACTGAATTATATATTTCTTTAAAAAACTTGAAATGTAATAATGTGCCTTCTCATTCAGGTTACTTTAAACTGATGAATACAAAAACATACATTTTCATGAACCCTTGGATTGCTTTAGTTTTCTTTGCTAGAAGCAGTAACATTTTACTATCTCAGGTAATATTTCTCTCATTTATGAATATTTAGGTAGTAAAATACCTTAACTAGCCTTATACTTTAGGGGGGAAAAAAGAATTACAATTGGAACAGTATTTAATTAAAGCAATTTAGAGTTTATATGAATAAAAGAGAATTTGATTATTTTTTGTCTTCATTTTTTAATATCAAAAAGAAATCTGGATTATTCTCCTTAAATTAGTGATGGGGTCTACTCTCTTCTTTTGTCATTAATAAATAAAACAAAAATACTAATATATTTTCTCACAGTAAAAACCATCGGTATAAGGACCTTAAATTAAAATTTTAGGTATAAGAAACATTTTTCGTAATTACAGTCAAATTTAAAATCACGTATGTATCAAAACAAATACCTCTGATGCTCACTAAGTAAAGTTCGGATAACAAATGACCTCTAGGCATGAGGAGACGCATGAGTCTTCCCTATGCACAGCTGGGAACTGGCTTTGGTCTAAATGGATATCAACCTTACTGTAACAATGTAAGCCCTTTCCTAAATAAAATCTCCCGTTTTAAAATGTAAGGGATTTTTTTGAGTAAGAATATTACTCTATCTTCATAAATGCTCCTTAACTTTGCTCCCACTCACTGCCACAGCCACTGCTGCCGCCTCTGGCTGAGACATGCTTTGATGTGCTGCTCCTCGGGACTCCCCTAGTAACAGAATGAACAAGACAGGGGAGGAAGGGGGAAAAAAACAAAAACAGGAGGGAATGGAAGACGGCAGCAGAAAAGTAAGGGGGACTATTTCAAAACCTTTAGCTTCCAGAGTGACGTTATACACTCGCTCTTCAGCTATCCCAAGGATTCCCTTGGGTAAATTCAGATAAACCTAAGGACGTACTATCCATAATATATAATGAAGAAAATGTTAATAAAATCAGGATGAAGATGATTCTCTTTGAAAGTCAATTTTTGCCTTCCGCACACATGCATGGCTATCACTGTCAAAGGGAAGGTAAAAATACATCACTGGCCTAACTCTACTGGGCACTTATACTTTGATGAAATTTTTACCAAAAATAAGCCTTTTCTATTAGAAATCAGAAATATTTCAGGACCAATAAACTAATAAATAAATAAAAGGCAGACAGATAGAAGAGATATCTGGCGGGGGGTGGAAGTGGTACTGTAGCCAGCTCTGAATCTCTCCTCACTGAGGCAAGTAAACCATCTCTCATGAAACCTGGAACACATTTTCCCATCTTCTGAGCCCCACAGGTGTGCCTACACACCACAGACCGGCCATTTATTAACCAGACCAAAGTCCAACCTAGTCTTGCCCTTTGCAGATGCTGCCTTTGCTAATGTCACTTCTGGAACTATTCCATACTAGAAGTGCCTTCAGCACCAGTACATGAGCCATTGAAGAAATGACTTTATACCTTGCTTTTTGCTTCAAGACCTTTGGGAAGTGATGATTCAAGGCTTTAATTCCTTGCATCCCAACTTGCTGAGAGAAAAGAAGAGTTGGCGGACTCTGCAGTAAGCCACGTACTAACCACCTGACTCCTGACATTCCCTCTCACGCCCAGAGTTCGGTGGTAAGTGTGGAGAACCGGAGAGATAGTAGCCTGAGAGGTAAGAGTTCTGGTCTCTAAGGCTAACCCTTTCACAACAGTTCTGTCATTTAAATGCTCTGTGTCTTGGGCTCCATATCTGCAAAATGAGAGTAACTCCTGGTCTCAACTTCATGATTATTGTAGACATGATTATAGTAAATAACACAATGTGAACAAAGGACATTGTGATACATACTGTATAAATATAACATCTTCTCCTACATTTTTTTAATTATAAAATGAGAATGTTATGACCCAAACAGTTAACCCCTTATTCAGTGGGAGGAAATGAAATTTGTGTTTATTATATATAAGAAAAGAGCTAATAGGCAAGACTGTTCAACTTACGGGTTTGTATGGCCTCTTGTGTCTGTGTATCTGAGCATTCCATATCTTCAACACCAGGTTGTGTGCTCTGCTCTAGTTCTTTCTTTCTCTTCTTACATATAAAAATTAAACAAAAAAAAGAAAAAGAAAAAGAAAAAGATGTGGCATGATGGTCAATTAAGAAAATATACAGGGCTTCCCTGGTGGCGCAGTGGTTGAGAGTCCGCCTGCCGATGCAGGGGACACAGGTTCGTGCCCCGGTCTGGGAAGATCCCACATGCTGCAGAGCGGCTGGGCCCATGAGCCATGGCTGCTGAGACTGTGCGTCCAGAGCCTGTGCTCCACAACGGGAGAGGCCACGAGAGTGATGTGAGAGGCCCGCGTACCCAAAAAAAAAAAAAAAGAAAAAAAGAAAATATACAAACTTATCAGATATTAGCATATACATATGAATCTATACGTGTGCGTGTGTCAAAACATACAGGAAGAATACACACAACTTCATGGTGGGGGTCACCTAAGGAAAGGGGCGGGGGGTGAAAGAAAAGGGGATTAAGGGAACCTTCAACTATACAGTTAGTCTGGAAGTGGGTATACTTCTTATATCCACCTCTAACTTTTTATGCCTCATATAATTTATTATTGAAAGCCACGTTGTAACCATCAGGACTGATCATACAGAAACTCTCTTTGAAAGCTGACACTTGCTCAGGCCAATGATACTTATTTTTCCCATTTTACGCTGCATGTGTAGGGTGGGGTAAATGTACTTGATAAATAGGAAAATATGTGCCTGGCCCATGTACTGCATCAGTGGTTATGCCCTCTAAACTGATGGGGAAATTCTGTGGATCAATAATGGCAAACTTCCAATAAATATTTTCTAACTTAAAGTTTAAGAGGGCCATAAACCTTACTGTAAAAGAGTCTTAAAAGTACAAAGCTCTGCTAGAATCTCAAAAACAGGTTGGATTTTCCACCACTCTCTCAGGCCTTTCCTATTTTCTACATATTTTTCTAGTTGAGTGTTACTTAGGAGTTAATGCCTACGTTCTGTCACCATCCATTCTTCCCAAATGTTCATACAATTTCTTTTTCTTACTTTCTATCACTACAACATTTCCTAACTAGCTCAGTCCTGTGTAAAGTTTTAAAATACTTAACATCTCTATAGGTAGGTATAACTAAAGAAGGACATTAGTAAGGAATTGAAAACTTTGCACTTTTCATACAACTTTATTCCATGTTATCTCAAATTTAAATGTGTTAAAATCTACATCAGAATTCATTACTTCACTAGGATGCCTACAATAAGTCTGCAGCATTTAGGAAATCATCTGATACTTCGCAAATTTCACAGATTCACGACACATCAGAATGTCCTCATTTATATTTTCCTAACAATATTAAGTTAAACTTTGCCTAAGAATTTTCCTCACTTCAGGCCATTTTGTGTACTGCTATAAAAGGGTATAATAGGGCTTCCCTGGTGGCGCAGCAGTTGAGGGTCCGCCTGCCGTTGCAGGGGACACGGATTTGTGCCCCGGTCCGGGAAGATCCCACATGCCACGGAGCGGCTGGGCCCGTGAGCCATGGCCGCTGAGCCTGCGCGTCCGGAGGCCGTGCTCCGCAACGGGAGAGGCCACAACAGTGAGAGGGCCCACGGGAGGGCCCACGTACCGCAAAAAAAAAAAAAAAAAAAAAAAAGGGTATAATATCTGCTGACAGGACATTGTTCTTTTGCCTAATGGCAACCATGGGTTCTGTTCCAAAGAGAACTACATGGGAAAGCACAACTCTACTCAAGCCACGTTATGTTAAAACCTCCGAATGGTCAGAACTGTTATTATCTGTGTATTACAGTTAATCCCACTGTTTCAAAATACTCTTACGGTGGCTGTGGAAAGATTAAACCTCAGAGATTCCCATCATGGTCCTGAAGAAAATGCTTCACGTATATAAACATAACATCTTAACTAAACCTTAAAAAACTTTCAAAGGCATTCATTTAGCAGATTTGTACATGGAGGTTATTACTTCTCAAAAATAGCTGGAAGAGTGGCTGTAACTTCATATAACTGATGAGAGAAGGGGAGAGTGCCTTACATCTTTCTTTTCCAAAGTGTTGCTTCATGATTACTATCTAAACCCTGCTGGGCTGAACAGATTGGTTCGATAATTACATACAATAACTGCAGTGGGCAGGTAACCCTCAGCTGGCACAGGGCAGCTCCCCTGTGAGAACTTCCATATGCAAACTGCACTGATGGAGTACATTAGGTACATCTTTCCTGCCGGTGCACAGGCCTGATTAACGCCAGCCAAGACTCCAAGGTTAGCATGTCAGCAGATTTGTGATGCATTAGGCAGGAATAAACACAGACACTTTTGTTCGTTCGGACCAAAATTAAGGAGGAATATTTCAGTACTATATTGCTTTCCATACAGGAGAGAATGCATTTTCCAGCTTTAGGAGGACAGATTTTTAAATGCTCATTATAAAGGGAGCTATCCAATATGTTCTACCTAAGAACCTAGTGCATTCATCTTGTTTTCAAGCTTATTTAATAAAAAGGAGCTTTCTTAATCTCCGTGCAGGTAAATTACATAGGAATGAAAATCAGACAGTATTCAACCAACAAAAGAAACACCTGTATTTCAGCAGTATGTACTGGGGAAAGCACTGAATTTCATTAATCCACACTTCAGTTGGGTATCTCTTGCCCAACTTTTCTGACAATGTATATATCAATAGTTTGGATAGAAAGGACCAACAGTCTACAGACTAAGACCAATTAACAACAACCCTCAAGTTAAAGAATATCTAAGTCTGTTATTCATTGCATAAGGCGATGAGTAAAATTCCAAACAATTTGCTGCCAGCTTCTTTCTACTGATATCACCAAATGCTTCATTTTGTTATTTGACAACTTTTTAGGCTTCAAATAGTACATAGTTTGGTTCTCTTTAAACAGAAAATGGCTTCACAAAGTGCATTAATGTCTGATTTTGTCATATGCCATACCAGGTCTCACAGGTGCCTTTATTTACATTTATAAATGAAATCAAAATATTGCATGACACACAAGAATAATTCATAAAGTTAGGACAGAGTTTTCCTTTAATTCAGCATGGCTAAAATATCTTTAAAAACTAGGTTTATTTTAAAGGGCATTAGTGTATATATTACACATTGTATTTTTGCAGTGCTCAGATATGCTAGGCTAAAACTTAGTTAAATTAGCAGCTTCTCACTTCCAATTTAGAAACAGGAAGACAAATCAGCGAGATGCATCGGACTGATAATTTACTAACAATCTAAACACTGACTGGAGATTAGTTACAGACTTAAAGCTGTTTTAACGGAAAAAAGAATAAAAGTCTTCAGAGACAAAAACCAAAGACAAAGAGATATGGGAACATATGTATATGTATAACTGATTCACTCTGTTATAAAGCAGAAACTAACACATCATTGTAAAGCAATTATACCCCAATAAAGATGTTAAAAAAAAAAAAGAAAAAAAAAAACAAAAAACCAAAGACAATTCTTCGCATCCCAACTCAAACATCCAAAGATACCCTCTAAATGCTTTCAACAACATCTAAGAGAAACCAATCAGATTCATGCTTGCATCAAAGGAGATGGGTACTGAAGAACTGTTGTTGGTTTTTTCCCCCTTATTACAAAAGTCATGAATGTTCATTATAGAAACTTAGAAGGTACAGCCTAAAATGTTTAAATGGTACTGCACGTGTGTGTGTCAAAGAATAAAGAACTCTAAACACAAACATGAGACTGCAATACGCAGTTAATCTTATTGGACTTATTTGATTAAGGCCACTGAAATCATCATGCAAATGTATACCCTTTAAAAATTACTATTACATTCCTTAATAGTAACCAAAAATAGAATATTTGTTACTCAGTGGTAACTAAAAAGAAAAAGGACATATCTTCTACGAAGGTAAAGAAACTTATGTGCTACACCACAGTATTTACAAAACCAGTGGATTTTAGTTAAACTTCCCTATCTAGACAGAAAAAACTGAGGCTGGGACAAAAGCAAGCTGGGAGAAGCTGCTCAGTGTTTCTAGCTGGTGGTGGTGAGAAGACAAGAGCTAAGGGCTCCTGGTTCTTATTAGAACTTCTTTCCACAGAACCACGCTGCCCCCCACGGGACTTTTGGGTGTAAAGTGGCAGTTTCCAGCCGTTGTGCTTTCGTTGTGACGGATCCCTTCCTAGAGAGCTAGCGCACACATACATACATGTGTACTTGGCAAGCCCAGGGTCACACTCTACTTTTCTTCTCTCCCACACTGAACACTCCTGGAGGGCAAGGACTGGGGTTTTCCCCACGTGCTATTATGTACCTTACACATACACAAATATCTAGGGGTCTGCACCTGCTGAGCAACTTAGTCCACTACTATTGTAGTAATAAAGAGAAGACTATGTGTTTTACCAAAGCCCCTCAAAAACTGTGTAATGTTTAAATGGACATTAAGTAATTACAGAAATGTTTTGAGAAAAACCAGGAAAAGGTCAGACACAACTGAAAGGAGAACAGATGAAAAGATGGGAAGTGGGTCAGGAAGTGAGTAAGTGACTTAAATGAGAGATGAATTTGAAGAATGGTCTAAAAAACTGTTACGATACACTGAAGTGATTTATTATTTTAAACAAGTTTCCATGGTAAAGGCTGCGATAAGAAAAACGCACACTACAATTTCCTTCCACAGTAACCCTGATTCTATCGGAACAGAGGTAGGAATCCCATCATGTATTTTCTAAGCACCTACTGTGTGCCGGGCACTGTTTCAGGCTTCATTCTCATGGAGAAAAACAGACACTAACAAATCGTTAAAGCAAAAGAGTAATTTTAGCTTTTATAAAAACATTAAGCACACACAAGTTAAATTTCTAAAACTATTTGCATTTATGTAAGCCCTATAAGAAGTCATTTCAGAGTTCCGTAAATGAGTCTTTTTGAGTAAGTGACCAATGTAATCCCACACACGTGGGATTTCATTCTGTGAAATATCAATCCATCTGTAAATGTAACACAGGCATGAGTGCATGGCCAAACTCTGATTTTGTTGTTTAAATTT